GTTTGCACATATTTTTGGCTTAGGCAAGCCCTACAGTTCTTTTAATGTTTTTGGATGCCCATGAAATGCTACTGGAGCCAGAAATAAGCACCATCTTGTAACAGCAGAAGACCGAATGCCAATAATGAAAAGTAAAACAACCTTAATATAAGAGTTTACTACATGTCTTCCTAGTTTCAAATACAGTTTCAAATAAACACGTTTTGTTCTTTTTACTCCTCTTATCTGATCCCATTACATTTCTTTAACAAGTAGCAAGTTTGTGATTACACCATGTAAGCCTCTTTTGTACCCCTGTGCAGTGTTTCACACTGGCAGGCTTAAGGTCTGTTGGTGCACATAAGTCAACGTGCCAGGACACAAGGAGCCTTAGAAAAGAGATTTACAGTAAATTAGGCAGGGCACATCAGGGCCATATTTGCAATGAATAAGAAACATTAATGTAAGACAGAATATAAGTTTGTTTTTAAAAGTAAAAGGACAGCTGACATACTTCAAGAAGAGAAGTAGGTTACTGATATCTGTGGCAGTATTTTGGACTAATATTCAAAGAAAGAAATTACAGATTCAAGGTGAAAACTTTAATAGCCAAACAAATACAGCAAGGCATCAGGTATCATCAACAGTGTAATAACTATCATAATTTAGCTTCTGTCAGGATGGTGCCGGAACAGCAACTAAAACATTCTTACAGACCAGGCTCTCACAGAATAAAAAAATCCCCAACACCTCCTCCTACAGCCCTGAGAGCCTGCAGGACATGCCAGAGATGACCAAAACAGAGGTGATCTTTTACAGGCAATAAAGGTTTGATGTGGCCCATGGGCCACGCTCTGGGGACTCTTTCTTTACACTGTGCCTCATAAAAGAACACTCCTTTCATTTGTCTGTAATGACAAAGGCTTCAGACCATGTCTGATGTCTTCCTTTAAAGTCAGATAAAGACACTGCTGAATACTTCCATCAACTAAAAACACATGTAAATTGTCATTCTATTATGATTAGGCCAAAAATAAGCGGAAAAAAGTAATAATCACAGAAACTTTTAAGATTTCAGTCAAATAAAGAGGTCTCCTAGATACTTCTAAAGAGATAGTTTCCTTAAGAGGAGGGATTAAGATTTAAGATTTCCGTATTCTTTCCAGTGCCAGATTCTGAATCCAAAACTGAGTTATCATAACTTCAAAACGTCTTCAATTATGACAGAGCCAGGGTAGATACAAGGATTTGCAGAGTAGCAGCATAAATCCTAACAAAAGCACCACTCAGCGTACCACAGTAAGCAACCTAGGAGGCACAACATTGTACCATCACTGAAATGCCAGCACATACTAGAAGATAATCCATCTTCTATAAATTATTAGCTTCTATGGGTCAAAGATACTCCAGTTTATAACTACTCGCCATCCGACACAATACTACTATTTCTCTTATCCTGTTCCCTCAAGCAGGAAAAAAAAAAACAAACTAGTGTGCACATCCTTTTTTATCACCTACTCCAATATCTACATAAATGCGTTGTGTACTGTGTTTCAAACAATCATTTTGTGCTGTAACATACAACGCAAATATAACCAGCTATGAACCTTATATCTGTTCATTAAATATGCAATTACTTACGGGAATGTTGATGAAAACATCATCAAATTCTGATGCTGACAGAAACCTTTTCAATGGCACCATGAAGAACTGCAAGGAAAAAAGAAATATATATACACACATTGAATACATCATTATATTTTCTAGACAGTTATAAAAATACATAAGTAACAATTCTCTAAGTAGCGTCTTGTCTTACTTTCTCTATCGATTCCAGAGTTTCAGTGTATTTCTCTTCAGTTTGCTTTATTTCAGCAAGACAACAGCTTCTTATGTCATTTTCAGTATATTTCTGCAATTACAATGGAGTCAAGTTTAAGTCATTAACGGGCATCTAATGGATAACAAATGTACTTATTTGTTTAGAAATAAGCAATTAGGATAACTGCTTCCTGAAATTTTCTGAGTACTGCAGCCTCCAAAGATGACAGGAATAAGCAAGAATATTTTAATGTTCGATTAGCTGATGACTTCAAGAGTTTTACTAAAACTCAGTATCAAAGGAATATTATGAAAATATTTAGACATAAAATGCTGAACTCAGTGCATGTACTTCAGAAGCCGAAATACAAGGTCACATTTAATTTATATCCAGACTGAGAAATCTTATTTAAAATACTGAGCAGTTAATAATTCCATTAAACTTAATGGGACTAAATCATGTAAGCAACTTTGCTTTGCCATAAATATTGGATTCAGTCTAATCCCTGCTCTTATTTACAGTTTCCCTTTTAGTTCTCAAGGGAAGCTTTCTCTTCAGACACAATACAAGTATGTCCTCAAATCAGGAAGTGCAGTGACCTTTAAGTTCAGCTCTTGCATATGTATGAGTGTGTCTTCAATGAGACCCTGGGATTTTTTCATGTAAGCCACCAGACTCATAGGAAATTGAAGTAATTATCAGCACAGGACTCTACAAAAATAGCTTGCAAGCACTCTTACTGAGGATCAGATTTACAACATCACAGCTTCAATAACTTACAAATCTGATTTCAAACAAAAGAAGGTATGGAAGCATTCACATCAAGCAAGACTTAACAACATCTGGAGACATATAGGTCAGCTTGGAGACCTGACACAATAACTGGATAAGCTTTTACAATTAAAAGCAATAATTGATCTAAAATGTTTTCTCCAAAAACAACAATAAACAGTGGCTTAATAAGCAATAGTACTGTCACATCCTTTCTGAAGTTTATTTATCAGTTTGTAACATCCTTCCAAGGCATCCTTCAGTATACCCCTGACTGTATCTTACCTTTTTTCACCCAGTGTAGGAAATCCACATACTGCACATAATAGACCTGATGACTAGATGTTACCCAAATACAGGGGGAGTCAGGATTAGAAATTTAGTACTACAGCTCTTTCCATTCAGAAAAAGACTTTCAGCTTTTGAATAAAAGACTTTTCTCCTCTAGGAATAGCAAAACTTCTAGACTGAAATTTTGACAATTAGTTCTTAATATGTCCAACAGCTAGGCTCCTTCCACTCCCTCTCTCTGCTATCAGTCTACTTGACACACCTGCTAAGCATACCACAGCAAATAGCAACCACCACTTAAACTGTCCACGAGCCACATACAGCTCCCACATTGATTGTCCACCTATGAAGAGTGGGAAATGTATTCCTACTACCTAAAACAGATGTCAAGTTGCAAATCATACAAGCACATAAAGCTTTGTCACTGCTCTGCTCTTTGCTGTTCCGATGTATGTCCTTTACCCTCTCTCTGTTCGTCTCCATGTGACTCTACAAGCAGCTGCTGCAACTGGAACATGGCTTCTCACTCTTATCTACCAGGTGCTGTGTTATCTCAGAAATTACTCTTTAAAAACCAATTGGTGTAGTTATTAATTTTCCCACAACAAACATCGAAGTGTCATCTTTATCAGCTGCAGATAGAAGTAACTATTTTGCAAAAATACAGTCTGTCATTATCAGTAGAAACGTGCTTTGTGAGCATCATCAGATCATCAGCCTCATCTCAAAATCTATCCTTTATTCCCAAATTCTTTGGCAGGGGGATGTGGGCACTGTCACAGTTAACCATAGTTGATCTCAATTAAGTATTAGAATTTAGTATTATTCAGGTTTTTAGCTAATTTTCACCTTTTCCTTTGTGAGCTCAATACTGTTCACACAGCTTGCAGCATTTTCACCAATATGGAAGTTGTTGTACCCAATAGGAGTTTATATCCACTTGGAAAAATATAGGGGTTTGTTGTTCACCAACTCTTAAATGAGCAATGCAAACAAAATCCTGGGATTCCACTTAGAACAATTCATTTCAGTTTTGTGCTCACCTAACCCAAACAGATGATTCACATAGGCACTTTTGGCAGAAATTAATATATCCATTTTCTATCTGTACTACAAACTTCTAGAATCTACGTGCAATAAACAAAAGGAGAGAGGAAATACGAAGTAACGTGCAAGCATCACTACAAATGAGAAAAACTGCCTTTGAAGGTCAGCTACTGCTAGAGAAAATTTAGGGCAACAGCTTACTTAGCAAGATAATGACAATAAATCAAGGATGAGGGAGATGTGAAGCATTTTGGCTGTTACTGGAGACTTGAAAAGTACTGGATTCTTCTAAAACTCTACTTGACAATTGTCCTGTGCTAGTGTTTTTTATACGCAAGGAATTCTCACGTAGGATTCAAATTGAAGAACTGCACAAAATCATCATGTTGTCATGCAGTGTATTTATAAACCAGAGAGGAAATTATCACAAACCAGAAACAGTTACCACATTCCAGAAAGCTGTCACAACAATTCTAATGTCTCCATTCATTACACGTTGTGGAAAAAATATTTTGCTGTACCATTTTTAATTTTCTTCTACTTTCTACAAGAAACAAATACAAGTCTCTTCCATCTAAAATATGTAGGCCAAGATGCAACTAAAGTTAGAACGTGAAAGTTCTGATTGCTATATATTAATCATTTGCTAGAAACACAGATATGCGAGAGTGACATGCAACAGGAAAGAAAATCAGAGAAAGTTTACACACTATCAACTGCCAGAGATTACCAACTCTTAACGGTTGAAGAAAAAAAAAACACCCACACTCATAATGTGAAACCCAAAACTTAACGTATTTTGAGTTTCAGTATCAAATAAAATCTCAAAACAAGATCACATTAAAGGTTTCCTATGGTTCAAACACTTTTCTAAAACATCCTGTCTGCAAGTGAATGCAACTTCTTTAAATATAAAGCAGGTTTTTTTCAACTCAATTTTATTTGGTTTCCATTGAATAACCTAAACTTTAAGAGGCAAATAAAATGAAGAAAAATACGAAAAAAACTAACATAAATCTACAAGCATTAACTGCAGGAATTTGTATTAACAGAAAAACAGGCTTGAAAACAATATTGTTATACTCAAAACAATAAAGACTAAAACAAGGGTGAAATCTTTCCAAAGAGAAGACAGTGGTAACCTTGGGAAATCATCATAATGGCAGAGAACATAAATCACATTAGGTATTTCCTATACTTCTATTGAAAAGATAGATAAGGCATCAAAAAAAAAGTGTGAGATCTTTAGAACTTCTTGTTTCTTCATGCAAGCAATTTACTAAAAAGCAATTCAGAAAAACAGAAGTTTCCAACTTTAGACAACAGGAAATGTAATATAGCTTCATGTCAATATAGAGGAAGAAAACAACTGTCTTAAAAACCTATCTGTCATGGCCACAGGCTAAGATTTTCCAGATCAGAAAGCACATCTCTGAGAAAGGGCAGACAAGTGCATAAGGATTTCTCCTAATTAGCAAGTAAATTTTTTTGTCTAAGTTTACGTTTCTTCCAAGACAGTTCTGAAAGTTGACCATGGTACCTTTGTATGATAAAGTGAGTAAGCTACTTAACCCATTCTCAGCAAGACTTCCGCTCAAAGAGTTGTGGTCAACGACTCGATGTCCAAGTGGAGACCAGTGATGAGTGGTGCTCCTCAGGGGTCAGTACTGCGACCAGTGCTATTTAACATCTTTGTTAGCAACATGGAGAGTGGAATTGAGTGCACCCTCAGCAGGTTTGCTGATGACACCAAGTTGTGTGGTGTTGTGGACAGGCTGGAGGGAAGGGATGCCATCCAGAGGGACCTTAACAGGCTGGAGAGGTGGGCCTGTGAGAACCTCAAGAAGTTCAACAAGGCCAAGTGCAAGGTCCTGCACACGGGTCAGGGCAATCCCAAGCACACGTACAGGCTGGACGGAGAATGGATAGAGATCAGCCCTGAGGAAAAGGACTTGGAGGTGTTGGTGGATAAGCTCAATGTGAGCCGGTAATGTGCACTGGCAGCCCAGAAAGCAAATCGTATCCTGGGCTGCATCAAAAGAAGCATGGCCAGCAGGTCGAAGGAGGTGATTCTGCCTCTCTACTCTGCTCTCATGAGATCCCACCTGGAATACTGCGTTCAGCTCTAGAGTCCTCAACACAAGAAGGACATGGAACTGCTGGAGTGAATTCAAAGGAGGGCCACGAAGATGATCAGAGGGCTGGAGCACCTCTCCTATGAAGACAGGCTGAGAGAGTTGAGGCTGTTCAGCCTGGAGAAGAGAAGGCTCTGGAGTGATCTTATAGCAGCCTTCCAGTACTTCAAGGGGCCCTACAGGAAAGCTGGAGAGGACTTTCTACAAGGATATATAGAGATAAGACAAGGGGCAATGGCTTTAAAGTGAAAGAGGGTAGATTTAGATTAGATATAAGGAAGAAATTTTTCACTCAGAGGGTGGTGAGGCACTGGAACAGGTTGCTCAGAAGCTGTAGATGCCCCATCCTTGGAAGTGTTCAAGGCCAGGTTGGATGAGGCTTTGAGCAACCTGATCTAGTGGAGAGTGTACCTGCCCATGGCAGGGGGGCTGGAACTAGATGATCTTTGAGGTCCTTTCCAACTCTAACCACTCTATGATTCTGTGATTCTATGAAGACCAACCTAATGATCAATAAAAAACTACATGGTTGAATAAGCAGGAATTTCATTGGTATGAAACAATTAGCAGTTGTCCTTGTTAGAAGAGTTGTTCACATTATGGCTCAAACAACAGCGTTTCATAAAATTATAACTATTTGAAGTAGGGTACTTCGAAGTAAGCACTTAATCTAATTGCTCTTAAAATAGCTGGTAAATCTTACCACTCATAATTGGCAATCTTAAATTACTGTATTTTGGTTTAAAATTACATTTCTCTCAAAAAATTACCATAGCTAACATTTGACCCTTTGCCAAAACAGCGTGCAAAGTCTTACACAGGAGATAATTCACAGCAGGTGACAGCTCCAGATGCAATTGTACATGAGTGAAGTTTCAGTGAAACTAGCTATAAACAGATAGTTTCACAAGTATTAACTTCCAAAAATATAACTACTACCATTCGAAAATAGCTAGGAATTGGAAAACGTACAGGTTGCTGTGCTGCTTCATCTTTCATTAGGTCTTCATAAACCTCCCCACCTTCATCTTCTCCATAGACGCAATCATACAACTCCTCATCTTCATCAACACCAGTTTCACTGAAATGAAAAAGGAAAAGAATTTAAAAAAAGCTGTGCAGTACAGGTAAATTACCATCAGCTCTGCAAGGGACCACTTCTCATAAGAAAAGATTTCTACAGTAAACAGAGTAATTAATAGAACCATCTAATGAAAAGAACTCATTAAGAGAAATAAAGTCCATTAATTTTCTTTCCTCAACACATTTAAAATATGATTGTACAAAATCAACACTGAACACTGTATGAATTTAGAACCTCATAGGAACTAAATCAGGCACCAAAAGCAGCTTGTCAGGACAGTTTTGTGACGAGACACTGTCCAGCTGCTCTCTTCTCTTCATCTCTTTTCCCACCACCTCCAGTGAAGAGCAGCTGCCTCTCCTTACTGCCTGGCATCCCACCGCACTGGGATACGAGCCACTGGTATA